TAGAAGAATTGATGCTTTTGAATTGTGATGTTGGATGAGAATACTAAAAGTGCCATGGGCTGCCAAAAGAACCAATAGATCTGTTTTGGAAGAAGTGCAGCCAGAGTGCTCCTTGGAGACCAAGATGGCTAAACTTTGTCTCTCATACTTTGGGCATATTGTCAGGAGAGAACAGTCGCTGGAGCAGGATATCATGCTTGGTAAGATGGAAGATCAGAGAAAAAGAGGAAGACCCCCCAACGAGATGGATTGACCAGGTGGCAGCATCGATGGACTCCAGTGTGGCAGCGGTAGTGAGGTTGGCCCAGGATCGGACATTGTTTCATTTTGCTGTGCATGGGTTCGCTATGAGTCGGTTCCGACTCGATGGCACCTGACAACAACAACAGAGTTCATACATGTAGGGGTTTATTCCAAATATGTGTTTAAGCATGTCTCTGCAATTGGTGGGGTGGGTGGCTACAGACAAGTTGTCTCAATTATATATTTGTCTTAGCCTCGTTGTTGTTGTTAAGTGATTTTGAGTTGATTCTGGCTCATAGCAACCCTGTATGGGGTTTCCAAGGAGTGGCTGGTGGATTTGAACCACCAACTTTTCCACTCAAACTATTCTTGTGGTCTAGCATATTACGCTGCAGCACCACACAAGGACTCCTTAGTCTCACTGTGGTGGTGGTGGTGGTTGGTGGTTACATGCCATGGAGTCAGTTCCAACTCATAGCGACCCTGTATAGATAGGGTTTCGGAGGCTGTAAATCTTTATGGGAGCAGAAAGCCTCATCTTTCTACCACAGAATAGCTAGTAAGTTTCGAACTGCTGACCTTAAGGTTAGCAGCCCGACTCGTAACCACTATGCTACCAGAGCTCCTTTTAGTCTAATTAGGATGCTTTTGAAAAAAGGTTCAATCCAAACTGGCTTCTGAGAGGATCTGCCGAACCAGTTAAATTTAAAACAGAGAGCTTGGCCCAGAAAGTCATGTGTTTATTTATTATCCCAATAGGGTAATAATCTTGATAGATTTTCTCAAAGGGCAGAGAACAATCATGGGACTTATTATAGAGAAATCTGAAGATAAATAAAAACTGCATTCATAAGAAAAAGGCCAGGAAAGTTGAGCAAAGGAATGCTTTGCACCACAACAATGTACCTGCCCATTCTTTGAAGACAACAAGGCTATGTTAGGAGAACTCTGCTGGGAATCATTACCCCATCTCTGCTACAGTCCTGATCTTGCCCCTTCAGATTCTCTCTGTTCTCCAAACTCAAAGAACCTTGAAAAGGAGCACAGTTTGGAGGATACCAAGACTGCGCCTCTGGTGTGGTGTCAAAAGTACAGAATTTAGGGGGGCGTTGGCGAGGAGAGAATGGAAGCACTGCCTTCAGAAGCATATAGAATGAGATGAAGGATGAGCAAGAGCTTCAAATTTTGATTTTTAAAAACTTTTCATTGTGAATTGAGTGAGTTTACACAGCAGATCATCAGTTTTCATTTCAATGGTTGCAATCCCCTCCATGTACCATAAGTTATCCCGTTTTCTAGGTAAACACTGTCCTTTCAACCTTGAATGGTTGACCACCTCACTAGCCATGCTGCCGCCATTTTCACCTGTCTACTGCTTGGCTGAAAATTGAGCCACGGGGGTGAGTTGAGGCCCAGACCTGAGGGTTATAATTTTGAGCTTTAGTCTATATTTTCTTCCACTCTATCCAAGACCTTCTAATAGGATCCTTTCAGACCAGTTGGTATTGGCAGTTGGGCACCAGCTAGTGTTTCTGGCTTTAGGATCAAAGAGACTGATGTTTACATGTTCCATTAAGTCCATTAGGTTAATTCATTCCAATCTCATTTTTTTAAATAATATTTTTGTTTAATAAAGGTATCTATGATTCTTCAGCAATACTTCTGACTTTCCCTCATATACAAAGATCAGGGGGATGTTTGGCTGGGTTGAGATAATCGGGTGTCTACCCAAAGAATAAAGAGCAGAAAGACAAACCATTGCTAAACAAAATGAAGACATTTCCTAGAATTTGTTTGCCCAAATGTGAATTATATTAAGAAGGATAATCACTTTTCTTCCATATGTCCTTATTTTTCCTATTTTCTCCACTACTCTGTATCTTTTCTCTCGCTCCTTTCTTGTCTTCAACTATTCATCGCTGATGGTTCATAGGCTGGCAGGGGTACCTGGTGGTGCCATGAGCAATGACAGCCTGAGTAGGTTGCTTTAGGGCTGAGAAGATCACCACTGAGCTGTGCTTGTGATCTGTTGCATGTCTTCAAACATGTCATGAAACCATGAGATCACCAAATACACATCTCAGATCCAATATGGACCACCTGAAAGAGTGGTGCCCAACAACAGTGTCTTGAGAAATTGAATTTTGCATTTCATTTAGTTTTAACTACGTTAAGCTTAAACAGGCTCATGGGGTTGGTGGTTAGTGAATCGAACTACACAGGTCTATGAAGTGAGAGTAATTATGCTACTTCAAGAGAGGGTTTTCTTGTCTACCAACACTGAGTCAGGATCACCAGAACGCCTCAGCACTAGAGAAAATGCTCAGCACCATGTTTACGCAAACTGCACACAACTAGATAGAGGCACTCTTTCCTGTCAGTATGACCTAGAAGTACTCAACCACGGCAACCGAATATTCTGCAATACTGTCCAAAGATAACCAACCATCTGCCATCCACTTGGTCCCGACTCATGACAACCCCATGGTGTCAAGGCAGAAGTCTGCTCTATAAGGTTTTCAATGGCTGGTCTTTGGGGTGGCAAGTTGCCAGGTCTTTCTTTCGAGGCACCTCAGGCTAGACCAGCCTTTTCAGTTAGTAACCGAGAGTACTGACTGTACCACCCAGGGGTGGTCTTCCAACTAAAATGTCTATTTCCCATTAAGAAAATAAAACCTAAAGTGCAGTTCAAATCTAATTCTTGACGCAAATTGGTACATCTACCACAACTTAGCTCCAAACTGGGTCATTTTTATAACAATCTCACTTGTTACTCAAAACAAGACAGGAATTAACCTGGATCTTCAACGTCATTTACCTTGCTGGTAAAAACCACAATTCAGTCTCTCTACTACAGCTCAGGTGGTTTTTTTGGGTTCGATTTTAGAGGTATCTTTAAGCTCTGTCTTGGATGGATTGCACAGTTCGTGCTTGTCCTTCCTGTCTTAAATCCCCCATGTTCATACAAGGTGACAGTCGAAATCATTACCATTTAGCACCCATGGAAAGTTTCCTAATTTTATTTTGTAACTGTCTTTCAATTATCATAAACGCTGCATGTATTCTTTAATGTTTGTTAAAATGAAAAGATAAATTCAATGCCACATCTAAAGCAGTAAAACTGAAGGTAAACTATACTTCCCAGTTCCTCTGAGAACTGTGACTCTGCATTCTGTACAGGTGGGGAAAGTTATCTCAGGACCCGTCTCTGTGGTTTGAGGAGCAGACTGCGAAGGTTCAAATTCCAGCTCTACTGCTGGGATTTATGAAACCTTAGGCAATTTACGTGCCTAAGCCTCTCTCCATGCCAGCTACCTCACATAAACATGGGGGAACTACATTAGGTAACATATGTAAAAGCACTTAAAACAATGCCAAATACATAGTAGAACATTTTAAAATTCTTAGTTATTATAGCCATCATTAGAGATTTATAAAAGTGGTATTTGAAGTCAGCATTTTTATGTCTTTAAAGTTAGTTATGAAGATAGTTGTATATACAAATCTTCAATTATGGGTGGAAGCATTACCAGAAGAAAAAGCACCAAGAGACAAACATTTCCTGCAGGGGACATCTCCCACTCAAGGGGCTTAAGGGTATTTTTTATTGATCTTCAGATGTCAGCTCATGGACAGTCACAATGCCCAGCACTTCCATTACCTCACTGGTTCTGAAAGCGACACGATAGTTGAACTGTGACCCTTCTTTCTCCTTAGCATCTTCCACTTTCTCTCTCCGGATGCTGATGGCCACAGGGCCAAGGTTTTCATCTATTCCAAAGTAGTTTTGGTGATCTATAAAAGAAGAAAACGATTGCATAAAAAGAAAAGAAAGAGACACAGAGCAAGGATGGAGACGTTTTTAGCTTTTTACATCAAATCCCTAAAGAAATACCCTAAGAATCTAATACACAAATGCATACCATATGAATTTAATTTCCCAAAGTATGTTTAATATGCAAACACAGCAGATCAATATTTCTGGTTTCCAAATCAAGTGTGCTCTTACATTTCAATAATCCTTCTTTTCTCATTCTACTTTTCACTAGTTAAGCAACAGCAGAAGCCCTCTCAAAATTATAATTCTAGTATCAGAGGAATCACATCATTGGAAAAAGTATGTTGCCTTTCTTCCACAATATCAAATGAAGGTCACACGTACTTGCCACACATTACCGAAAACAGCTCTCCTTCATCTAGACAATCACCTTCTTTGACTGAATGAGAATACCAGGGGTGATCTAACTAGGCACGTAGACCAGCCATATCAATACTGGCACTCAATGGAGTAGCAAAAAACCCCCACTTGTTACCATGTCACTAAAGTAAGTAAGTGTGAAGAAAAATTCAGCTACAGAAAGAAAACACATGTGCAGTAATTAAATTGCTGAGGTCAAATTACGTCTCTTAGTACTATAAAATAGTTTTAATGTTATCAGCTCATTATTTTCTTCATATCTATCATTGGTTCTAAAGCCAGACAACCTCAATGTAGGAGTAGACCTTTGTGGCCTCCCTGTTCATCTAACACAGGGGTTTTCTCTTGAGAATATGCTATGTAAAGGGCAATCATTAGTCTTCACTCATATAAAAAGCAATTGCTAGAGGACCCTAAGACCATCAAGGGTGAAGAACATGAGCGGAATTTGGGACCCTATCCAGAGAACTAGCGACACAACAGAGATGGAGGCAGAGATGAGGACATGGAAGGAGCAGTTGAGGACTCTAGACTTATGGAAAGAGAAAGGCTGTGTGCTGGTGGCCAGGAGGCAGGCTTTCAGAATGTGCCCTTTGGTTGTTAAAATGATTATGTATTCCTGAGTGTTTTGGTGTACACATACCACGCCCCCCGCAAAAAAAGAGAAAAAAGAAAAAGAAAAAAAAACACAGAGGGAATAGAAGCAAATACTATTATTATGATGATACACGGAGGGGACTGTAATCATTGCAAAGAAAGGAAATACGATAGAATTAAGTGTAAAACCAATGTTCTCCCATGTAAATTATCATTCAATTCACAGTAAAAACTTAAAAAGAAAAACAAAACAATTGCTGTTGAGTCCATACCAGCTGGCAGTAATCCCATGTGTGTCAGGTAGCAGTTGGCTCTACAGGGACATCAGCAACTAGCTCTTCAGAAGTACACTGCCAGGTCTTTCTTCTCAGGAATCCCTGCGCAGACTCAAGCCTCCAATTTTCCAGTTAGGAGTCGTGCACACTAACTTATGGACTTAATACCACTTAGGGACTCCCTTTCATGCATACAATTAACAATTATGTGCCTACTATGTACTAAGGAGCTCTGGTAGCGTAGTGGTTACAAATCGGGCTGCGAACCGCAAGGTCAGCAGTTTGAAACTACCAGCTGCTCTACAGGAGAAAAATGAGGCTTTCTGCTCCCATAAAGATTTACAGCCTCGGAAACCCTGTTCAGGGTTGCTATGAGTCAACGGCACTTAACAACAAACAACATGTACCAGGCAATGAGCTCTGGTAGCATAGTGGTTACGAGTTGGGCTGCTAACCTCCAAGTCAGCAGTTCGAAACTACCAGCTGTTCCACAGGAGAAAGATTTACAGGCTCAGAAACTGTATACAGGGTTGCTATGAGTCAGAACTGACTACATGGCACACTGCCACTACCACCGACTCCACCACCACCACCACGTGCCAGCCACCACCATGTGCCAGCCACTGTTCTGAGCAGTGGGAACACAGGGTAAGCCATGCAGAAAAAACTCTACCCTCACGACGCTAATATTCCAAGCTTGAACTCTTTCATGGATGGGAAGCTCGCTACTCTGGATTGCTGGTCAAGGTTCCGTGTTCTGGAGCTCTGCTAAAAGCAGTTAAACAGTGCTTCATGGCAGTGTGCAAACTTTTAAAGTTTTGTCTTCTAAAACGACTCAAACTGACACAAAACTGAAGATGTGATTCAATATATGAAAAATAGGGGCAGCAGTTACCCAAACGCTTATTAATACATCTTAAAACAACATCTGCTTATTTTTAGCAGCCTCAGCACACCAATAATTCAGGCAGAGCAGGTGGTAAACTACAACCCCAGGTGCTACTAATTTATTTCCTAATGAACTACTGCTGGGTCAGTTCTCGGAGGTCTCTACTTCTAAAATCCATTTTTCTAGGCTGTATGCAAGACTTCACATCGATCACTTTTGAATGTCACCTTCTTAGCTTGGTTCAGTCTTTTCTGATCTTGATTTTTCATTTAAAAGCAACAAAATATATTGCACATTTATAAAGGTGAAAGAAACCCACAGGTATCCCGAAGGTTTTTGCTATACTAAGATTTTCTGCCACAAAAATGTCTGAAGGGATAAGAAATGCTTTTCAGAAATAGGATGAAGTCCATGAAGAAAAGGAGCAAATACACAAATCCAAGAAAACACTATTCACAAGCACTGTAGGATAAGCACTGGACTACTCACCTCAAGGTCAGCAGCTCAAACTCATCAGCTGCTCCTTGGAAACCCTATACAGGGTTGCTACGAGGTATAAGGAACTCTACAGCACTTGACAACAACAAAAATGAATATTGACTAGAATTTGAAAAGGCAAATAATTGTCCTTCTTAATTGCTTCCAACAAAATGAGATGAACTCTGGCATCATTTCTTTCGAGAGCAGGTGATAACTAGTAGAGTAAGAAAAGTACTTTAAAGGGTGGAAAAGTCAACTATTGAGTTACTATCGTTCTGAATTTACCAAAAGGAAACAAGCTTCTACAAAGTCGTTTGAACCACAAGGTCGGAGGTTCAAGCCCACCAGCTGCTCCTCAGAAGCCCTATACAGGGTCGCTATGGGTCGGAATCAACTTGACAACAAAAACAACGAGTATATTGACCGTTACAAACTTGTGTAGATACCGCCAGTAAAGCAAAACATGCATTTAAAGTTCTGAGTTTGGGAAAAGGCAACCCAGAAGCAGTTATTTGTGGCTTTAGTCAACATAATAAAAAACAGTTAAAAATATTTAATAAACACTCATCTGTCCATTTGCTGTACTTTGTTGGCTTATGTTAAAGCTATGTGCTCTGTGATGCTAGAAGCTAGGCCGCCGGTATTATACACACCAGCAGACTCACCCAGGGTGGACAGGTTTCAGCTGAGATTCCAGACTAACACAAAGTCGGAAGGAAGCGAGGTGGACTACTTCTGAATGTTTAGTCACTGAAACCATTACCAATAGCAACAGAACATTGTCAGCTTACTACCAGAAGATGAGCCCCTCAGGTTGGAAGGCACTCCAAGTACGGCTGGGGAAGAGCTGCCTCGTCAAAGTAAAGTTAACCATAATGATGTGGACGGGGCTAAACTTTCTGGAACTTCATTTGCTGATGAGGCAAAACTCAAAATGAAGAAAAACAGTTACATACATCATTAAAAATTAGAGCATGGAAGGTACAAACTATGGATCTAGGAAAATTGGAAGTTGTCAAAAGTGACATGGAATGCATAATGACCAACATTGTAGGCATTAGTGAGCTAAAATGTACAGGTATTGGCCGTTAAGAATCAGACAAGCTTACTATGCTAGAATGACAAGTTGAAGAAACATGGTAACACATTCAACATCAAAAAGAACATTGCAAGGTCTATTTTGAAATACAAAGCTGTCTGAGATAGAATAGTATTCACATGACTACAAGAAAGACCATTTAATGCGACTATTATTCAAATATGGTGGTGGTTATGTGCCGTGGAGTCGGTTCTGACTCAGAACGACCCTGTACAGGGTTTCCCAGGCTGTAAATCTTTACAGGAGCAGAAAGCCTCATCTTTCTCCCATGGAACAGCTGGTAGTTTCCAACTACTGACTTCGAGGTTGGCAGCCTAACTCATAACCACTTGCTACCAGAGTTCCTTATTATTCAAATATACACAACATCAATCAAAGCCAGTGATGATAAAATTAAAGAAGGCTACCAACTTCTTCGGTTCCTGGTCAGTTATAATGCACTGGAAAACAAGGTCAGTTAGAACCTCAAGGCCAGCAGTTCAAACCCACCATCTGCTTCTTGAGAATGCTATACATGTCAATGGCATATAACAAGAACAATAACATCGCCCAACTTCATCAGTCTGAAATGATCAAACATGCAATCAATACTCAAACATAATTACCAGTGAATGAAATGTGAAGGTTTGAAACAAAGATGGACCAGTAGTTGGAAAATATGACCTTGGTGATAGAAATGATGCTGGGATTGCATGATAGAATTTTTAAGGTCAGAGACCACAGGCTTTGGGGTTGCACCTCAATGTAAAAAAAAAAAAAAAACAACACAAAAAAATCCTCACCACTGGACCAATAAATGACATCCATATAAGTGGAGAAAAGGTTGAAGTTGTCAAAGACTTCATTTTGTTTGGATCAATCATCAACACTCATGGAAGCAGCAGTCAGGAAATCAAACAATGTATTACATTGAGCAAATATGCTGCACAAGGCCTTTTAAAGTGTTGAAGAGCAAAGATGTCAATTTGAGGACTGAGGTGTGCCTGACGCAAGCCCTGGTATTTTCAATGACCTCATATGCGTGCGAAAGTTGGATAGTGAATAAGGAAGACCATAGAAGAATTGATGCATTTGAGTTGTGGTATTGGAGCAGAATACTGAAAGTACCATAGACTGCCAAAAGAACAATTAGATCTGTGTTGGAAGAAGTACAGCCAGAGTACTCCTTGGAAATCTGGATGGCTAGACATCATCTTTCATACTTCGGACATACTTTCAGGAGGAACCAGTCACTGGACAAGGATATCATGTTTAGGA